GGGGGGGGGGGGAGGCTTAGAAGAGGAAGACTTTTTCATCAGACCAGGATGGCAGCTCCATTTTTACAGAAACCCATGATGGCAGTTTCCACATTGATGAAGAGAAAACAGAGGGATTAAATAAAATTTTTCAAGGTGGCATTTCTGGTACAAGTGAGACTAGAACTCAGATACCCTGTGCCTATTGTCCTGTTAAAAACTATTAAGTATGCAGTTTCTGAATTATTCTTACATGAAATTAAAACATTACAGATGTTTTACATCTTTAAGACAAATAAGACCAATGTCTCCCTAACCACCACCCTGACTTTAGAGGTAAACTAGTCAGAGAGAAAAACTGTTGTAATTTTAGATGCAGCCTTCCAGATGTAGGAATGGCAGTGCATTTCTATCCAGCTCATTATTTCATCCACAGGCATAGTACACTCACTCTACTTTCTACAGATGGATGTTTAGGTTATGTACCTTGTGCGCATTAGAAGAGGTGCCATGTGTAGAAGAGTTGGGTCACAGGTTTGCCTGTTTTAGTTTTAAACATATTGCCATATTTCTCTCCCAGGTGGCTGTTACCTGTTTATACTCCTCCCAGCATGAAAATATTTGTTTTTCCTCATAATTTTATTTATTTATTTATTGGTTAACCCTCACCTGAGGGTATTTTCTCCATTGATTTTTTTTTAATTGTTCAAAATATTACAGATGTCCCTTTTTCCCCATTGACTCCTTCTACCCCCCACCTCAGTCCCTCACGACACCATTGTCTGTGTCCTTGGTTTATGCATATATGCATATAACTTCTTTGGTCAGTCTCTCCCTACCCACCCCCACCTTCCCTCAGAGATTCGTCAGTCTGTTCCATGCTTCAATGTCACTAAATCTGTTTTGTTCATCAGTTTATTACGTTCTTTAGAAGTGAGATCATGTGATATTTGTCTTTCTCTTCCTGGCTTATTTCGCTTAGCATAATATTCTCCAGGTCCCTCCATACTGTCCCAAAGGATAAAAGATCCATTTTTATAGCTGCATAGTATTCCATGGTGTAAATGTCCCACAGCTCTTTTATCCACTCATCTACTGATGGGCACTTGGGCTGTTTCCAGATCTTAGCTATTGTAAATTGTACTATGAACATAGGGGTGCATATATTCTTTCTGGTTGGTGTTTCAGGATTCTTAGGATATATTCCTAGAAGTGGGATCACTGGGTCAAATGGCAGTTCCATTTTTAATTTTTTGAGGAACCTCCATAGTGGCTGCATCAGCTTGCATTCCCACCAGCAGTGTACTAGGGTTCCCCTTTCTCCATATCCTCGCCAGCATGTGTCATTTGTTGATGGTAGCCATCCTGACAGGTGTGAAGTGATATCTCATTGTGGTTTTAATTTGCATCTCTTTGATGATTATCGATGATGAGCACTTTTTTTTTTAAAAAAAATATCTTTATTGATTTCAGAGAGAGGAAAGGAGAGGGAGAGATAGAAACATCAATGATGAGAGAGTCATTGATCAAGCCCGCAACCCGGGCATGTGCCCTGACCGAGAATCGAACCCCGATCGCCTGGATCCCAGGTCCACACTCAACCGCTGAGCCAGGGCCGGCCGGGCAATGAGCACTTTCTCGTATGTCTCTTGGCCATCTATATGTCCTCTTTGGAGAAGTGTCTATTTCGGTCCTTTGCCCATTTTTTTAATTGGATTTTTTGTCTCTCTTGTTGAGTTGTATGAGTTCTTCGTACACTTTGCAAATTAGCCCCTTAACAGATGCATCCTTGGCAAATACGTTGTCTTATACTGTGGGGTTCCTTTGTATTTTGGGGCGGATTTCTTTTGCTGTGCAGAAGCTTTTTAGTTTGATGTAGTCCCATTTGTTTATTTTGTCCTTTGTTTCTCTTGCCCTAGGAGATGTATCAGTGAAAATTCCACTATGTGAGATGTCTGTGACTTTACTGCCTATGTTTTCTTTCAGGGTTTTTATGGTTTTGCGACTTACATTTAAGTCTTTTATCCATTTTGAATTTATTCTTGTGTATGGAGTAAGTTGGTGATCTAGTTTCATTTTTTTTTTTTGCATGAACCTGTCCAATTTTCCTAGCGCCATTTATTGAAGAGATTGTCTTTATTCCATTGTATGCTCTTGCCTCCTTTATCAAATATTAACTGACCATAATGGTGTGGGTCTATTTCTGGGGTCACTGTTCTATATGTGTGTTGTACCAATACCAGGCTGTTTTGATTACAATGGCTTTGTAAAGTTTGATATCCAGTAAAGTGATTCCTCCAACTCTGTTCTTCTTTCTCAAGATGGCTGTGGCTCTTTGGCGTCTTTTTTGGTTCCATATAAATTTTTGGAATATTTGTTCCAGCTCTGTGAAATATGCTGTTGGTATTTTAATAGGAATTGCATTGAATCTCTAGATTGCTTTGGGTAGTATTCTTCCAATCCATGAACATGGTATATTCTTCCATTGTTTATATCTTCTTCTATTTCTTTTTTCAGTGTCCTGTAGTTTTCTGAGTACAGGTGTTTTACATCCTTGGTTAAATTTATTCCAAGGTATCTTATTTTTTTTAGTTGCAATGGTAAGTGGTATTGTCTTTTTAGTTTCCTTTTCTCCATTGATTTTTAGAGTGTGGAGGGAGAGAGAGACACATCAATTAGTTGCCTACTGAATGCTGGAATCCAGGGTTTGAACCTGCAACCCACATACGTGCCCTTGACCAGGAATCAAGCCTAAGATCCTTTGATGCACAGGCTGACGCTCTGACCACTGAGCAACAGCAGCCAGGGCTTTCCTTATCATTTTGAAGTTAAATGCTTTTGCCAAGCTGGTGGGTGAAAAATACTGTATCTTACTGTTGTTTTAATTTGCATTTCTTGATTATCAGGGAAGTTGAATATCTTTTTGCTTATTGACCATCTGTATTTCCTCTCCTAAAACTATTAATATACTTTGGACATTTTTCTATTAGATTTGTCTCTTTTAAATGGATTAATAAAAGCTATTTTATGTTACCTATACAGCATATGGTGCAAGTATTTGTTTTCCAGTCTCTAGTTTCTCTTCATTGTTTGTGGTTGTTTTTGTTGTACTGAAGTATAGTTTAGATATAAACAGGTTTATCAAACTGTCATATTTGGCTTTTTGGAATCTTGTTTGAGAATGCTTTCTCTAGCTCAGTATTTTACATGGTTCTCATTTTATTGTTTTACATTTAATGAATTCATCTGAATTTTATTCTCGTTTTGATGTAAGGTCTGATTTTAGTTATTTTTCGAATGGGTAACCAATTGCTCCAGTATTTTTAAAAAAATCCTCACCCACAGATATGTTTTCATTGACTTTTTAGGGAGAAAGGAAGGGAAAGAGAGAGAGAGAGAAACATCAATTGGTTGACTCCCATAAGTGCCCAGACTGGGGATCAAACCTGCAACTTAGGTATGTGCCCTTTTTGGTGTACAGGGGGCAATGCTCTAAGCAACTGAGTCACCCAGTCAGGGCTGCTCCTGCATTTTTTATTGAATAGTCTCATCTTTTCTCGTTGACTTGAGCTGCCTTTTATCATTTACTAAGTCCTCATGTATGCAGGCCTGTTCCTGAACTCTTTCTGCCTTTCAATTGGTTTGTCCACTTTTTAATTTTCCCACATTTGTTTTATATAGGTTTTTAATGTCTTGATATCTGATCAAGCAAGATTCCATGCTAGTTTTGGCTGTCTCTACATTTATTTCATATTGTCTCTAGTGCTTCAAATATATATTATTATTTTTCATTTTTCACTTGTACACTCTTTTCCAAATACCCTTACATCCCATCCCATTTCATATTAATTTTTAAACTGGATTGTCAAGGAAGACAAAACATTTTCTTACCTTGGTCGGGTGGCATGGACTATATCTATCTGCGGAGATGGACATCTTGAGTGTCTTCATGAACATGTCTTTTCTCCATTTATTCAGGTCTTGCGTGGCTTTCGATTAGAGTTTAGAGTTTTCTTCATAGTCTTGACTAACTGCATTCTGGGTTAACTCCTAGGGACTTTCGAGTTTGTTACTAAGAATGGACTCATGGTATTTCCTGCTTGGTTTCAGCTAATAGAAAGTTGATTTTCACTTGGTGACCTTGGATCCAGCCACACAGCAGAACTCTTTAAATTCTAATAATCTGCGGTTTCTCTA